ACAAGGCCAGCATTTGTTGATTTGTTGTTTTCTTTATCAGTGCCATTCTGACTGGGATGAGATAGAATCTTAGTGTAGTGTTGATTTGCATTTTCTTTTTGGTTAAGGATTTTGAACATTTTTTTTATTCTGAAAAGACTGTACAGAGGGGTTACAATTATATGGGCAAGGTAATGAGTACGTTTCTTATCAAGCATTGTTGCCTCCTCCTCTGTTTCCCCTTCCCATCCCTTCTCATCCCCCCCCCCCCCCAAAGTTGTAAAGTTTGTTTTTCGTGTTTCCCCTTCCCATCCCTTCTCATCCCCCCCCCCAAAGTTGTAAAGTTTGTTTTTCGACATAACGTCTTGTACATCTCATTGTTGCAATGTCTCCACCTGTATCCCCATTTAAACAATTTGTTTTTTCCCTTCCCCTCCACAAAGTATACCAACATCAAATACAGTGAAAACAGGGGTTATACCATGGGGGAGGGGGACATACAAAGCAACAAAGAAATCATCTTATAAATATGTTAGAAACAATTGCAAGAAAGAAAAAAACATTTGAATTCTTATCTTGGGGTTCGTTTCACCTAACATCAGCTTATCTGACCTTTTCTGCTTGTCTCAGACATAAACTAGTTATTGAAAAGAAGGGAAACCATGGGACCTATGTTTCTTTGGGCCTGGCTTACTTTACTTAATATAAAAGTCTTTCCATTTCCTAACAAATGGGGCAGTCATTCTTTCTGATGGAGGCATAGAATTCCATTGTGTATAAATACCACATTTTCTTGATCCATTCATTTACTGAGGGGCATCAGAGTTGGTAGGGATTTTGAACATTTTTTAGAGAATTATTCACTTACTCAGTTATTAAATGGATTATTTTTTTGTGTGCCTTTTCTGGGGCTTGAACTTGGCTTAGGTGCTGTCCCAGACCTTTCTTATGATTAATTGGAAATAAGCATTTTCATGAGCTGGTTCCAGTGGCTCTCGCCTGTAATCCTAGTTACTCAGTGGCTGAGATCTGAGGATCACAGTTCAAAGCCAACCCAGGCAGAAAAGTCCATGAGATTCCTATCTCTAATAAACTATGCAGAAAAAGCCGGAAGTGGTGCTATGGTCAAGTGGTAGAGTGCTAGCCTTGAGCAAACAAGTTCAGGGACAGTACCCAAGCCTTGCTTGAGTCACAAGCCCCAGGACCAGCAAAAAAAAAAAAAAAAAATTCTGCTGGGACTGACTTCAAACCACAGTTCTCAGGTCTTAGCTTCCTGAGTTGCTAGGATTATATTTGTGTTCTACTAGTGCCTCAAGATTATTTGTGCTTTTGCTATTCAGTTTTATTAGCATTTTTAGTTCTGGATAATTTGATGTGTGCTGCGTCAATTCTTATCAATTCTTGTTCTTGCTTTCTGGACAATTGGGAGTCTGATTTGGAAAATAATTACTTACGACCATAAAATTCAGAATTTTCCCTGTGGTTTTCTGTCTTAAAGTTTGAGATCTTGTAAGTTCTTTGGTCCATTTAGAGTTCCTGTACAGAGTGAGAAGAAATAGGGATCAAGTTTGAATCTCTTAAATTGGAAAGTTGGTTTTCTCAATGTCATTTGTTGGATAGGCTGTCTGTCTATGTATGTTATATTTTTGTCAGAAATAGCTGTAGCTGTGTGGGGTTTTTTTTTTTTTTGGGTCCGGTCGTGGGGCCTGAACTCTGGGCCTGGGCCCTGTCCCTCAGCTTTTCAGCTCAAGGCTAGCGCTCTACCACTTAAGCCACAGCACCACTTCCGGCTTTTTTCTTTTTGCTTATGTGGTGCTGAGGAATCGAACCCAGGGCCTCAGGCATGCAAGGCAAGCGCTCTACCACTGAGCCACCTTCCCAGCCCCTGTGTGGTTTTATTCTTAAATCTTCTGTTCCTTTGGTCTTCAGATACGTTTTTGTGCCACTGTTCTATCCCCTACAAAACACTACCATTTGTCATTGTCGTTCTTTTCCCTCCATTTCCATGTTGCGCTCTGATGATAAGGAAAATGGTTAAATAGTGTTTTTCTTTATTTTGTTGTCCTAGCTACAAATTCTAATGGGTTCCTCTGCATACATACAGTCTTGTAGCCTTGTGTTCAAAAGTCTGTAGCACATTTATGAATGTATGCAAAGGTCATAATAAAGCCTTTTTTTTTTTTAAGGTCTAGGGCTAAAGGTGTAGATCAAGTAGAACATGTGCCTGGCAAGCACAAAGCCCTAAGTCCAAACCTTACTACCACTGAAAAAAAGAAAAGTCTCAAATGGTCAGCCACTTCTGTTCTACCTTGCGTAGTGGGAGCTCATATTCAGAAATAAGTCAGTTTGGGCTAGGAAGGTGGCTCAGTGGTAGAGCGCTTGCCTTGCATGCATGATGCCCTGGGTTCGATTCCTCAGCACCACATAAGTAAAAAGAAAAAAAAAGCCGGTAGTGGCACTGTGGCTCAAGTGGTAGAGTGCTAGCCTTGAGCTGAAGAGCTGAGGGACAGTGCCCATGCCCAGAGTTCAGGCCCCACGACCGGACCCCCCCCCTCCCCCCCCAAAAAAAAAAGGAAAAGAAAAGAAAGAAAAGTCAGCTTGTTATTGTCCCTTTCTGCCTTCCTATCCATTTATCAATCTGGCCATCAGCGGACTGTTTTTTAAGTCATCTTTAGGCAGGTTTACTTGCCATTGTTACTTAGTCTGGATTCTATTAGCCTCTTGTTAGCTTCATTGACTTGTACATGTATTTATGCTTTTTGTTATTTCCTTTATTAATTATACAGAGGGGTTTGTTGTGATATTCATGTGTCTGTATGCTTTGATCATATATATTTATATTTACCCCATTACCTTTTCTTATCCTTCGCTCATTTTACTTTTTATTTTCAATGCCAATCCTAGGGGCTTGACTGGGTGCTGTCCCTGAGCCTTTTTTAGGCTATCGCTCTACCACTTGAGCAACAGTTCCAGTTCTACTTCCAGCTTTTTGGTGGCTAATTGGAGATAAGAGTCTCACTGACTTTCTGAGCCCAGGCTGGCTTCCAACTGCCATCCTTAGATCTCACTGTCTGGAGTAGTTAGGATTATAGATATGAGCCACCGATATCTGGCTCTTCCTCTTTTAAAGACAGGTTTTCATGGATTTCCTTCTAAAAAATAGTTTTATTATTTATTGTTACTAAGGTGTTGTGCCAGAGGGACTACAATTATGAAATGGTAGTGTAATGGTAATGAGTACATTCTCTCTCTTTTTTTTTGGACAGTGTTACTCCTTCCTTTATTTTTCCCCAGTTTACCCCTTCATTCTGTTTTTATGCTTATCTTTAAACTAGATTTAGTTTGTATATGGGTTTGAGGAAGGAGATGAGAGAGCAGAGGTACAATTTGACTTACTATAGTGGGGGGGGGGGGCCTGAACTTGAGAGAGCAGAGGTACAATTTGACTTGCGTGCGTGTGTGTGTGTGTGTGTGTGTGTGTGTGTGTGTGTGTCTCGTGGGGCCTCAACTCTGGGCCTGGGCCCTGTCCCTCAGCTCTTCAGCTCAAGACTAGCGCTCTACCACTTGAGCTACAGCGCCACTTCCGGCTTTTTTCTTTTTGCTTATGTGGTGCTGAGGAATCGAACCCAGGGCCTCATGCATGCAAGGCAAGAACTCTACCGCTGAGCCACCTTCCCAGCCCCATGACTTAGTATATTCTTAGGGGCCTTTTTGTAATACTCTTAAATTATTTCAGGTAACACTAAAGTCTAAAGGTATTGACTTAAATAGAAAATAAAGCCCCTAGCATTTTACTTTTTAAATTGTTTCCTGTTACATAACAATTATTGTTAAAATTAGAGTACATGGAGATTGGCTCAAATGGTAGAGCACCATCAGCCTTGAGCAAAAAAGCTAAACAGGAGCTGGAGGTTCTGATTTCAAGTCTTATTATCAACACAAAATAAATATATGGATTATTTTAAATGTCAGGAACATTTACCACAGTGTACTTAGCAACAGCACGTCATCTCCTTATCACTAAAAATGTCTAAGGTTAAATGAGTTTCTAACCTGAATGCATAGGGAAAATGGGAATTGAAGTTGAGGTGCTTTGGTGGTGGAGTTTTGCTTTAGCTGGGCCTGAAGTTTTAAACTCTGGGCTTGATGTCCAAGAACTTTTGTAATCAAGGCTGGCTCTACCACTTGAGCCACAACTCTATACTTCCAGTTTTTTGTGGTTAATTAGAGATAAGAATCTTTTGAACTCTCCAGCCTGGGTTGGCTTCAAACCGAGAACTTCAGATATCAGAATCTATCTGAAAGAGATTTTTATATTGATATACTTTAGATTGTCTACAGATTTTAAGTCAAGTCTGATTCCAGTTAATGCTTACTCATCTGATAAAAGAGATCTTTGCTTTTTGAAAGGTTTGGAATGGCTGATATAAGAGTCATTGTCCTTAGGATCTACTAGATCTCTTCAGTAAGTCCAGGTGAGATTACAGAATTTACCCAGATTCACAGGAATTGGTTTAGTGGCTGATGAGGGTATAATTGCTCTGTCTCTGTGAGAGGACTAATTAAGGCTGCTGTGCATGTCCTGTCTTTATAGGACAATGAGGTCACCTAATGGGAAGAAATATTTTATTATTCTGTATTGAACAATGTAGTTAAATCAGTTGGTTCATGATCTGAACACATTACCTTAAATAAAATTCAACCAGGGGCTGGGAATATGGCTTAGTGGTAGCGTGCTTATCTAGCATACATGAAGCCCTGAGTTCATATTTCCTCAATACCACGTAAACCGAAAATGCTGGAAGTGGTACTGTGGCTCAACTGGTAGAGTTGAACAAAAGAAGCTCAGGGACAGTGCCCAGGCTCTGAGTTCAAGCCCCAGGAGTGGCAAAAAATAAATAAATAAAATAAATAAATCGCAACCAGAGAAGGAAAGCTATCTTCATCCTAAGGGGTGAAAATAGTGATAATATAATTACATTTCATAATAGTACCTCATTTTCTTTTTTCCCTTTTGCTAGGTGGTATGGTCAGGAAAAAGACTATAACGTGCTAGTCATGGATCTTCTGGGACCCAGCCTTGAAGACCTCTTCAATTTCTGTTCAAGGAGGTTCACAATGAAAACTGTACTTATGTTAGCTGACCAGGTATGTGAACTTTTGACAAAAATAAAAGCTAAGAATACTGCTATAATTTAAATGTTCATGAATCAGAGTATTATATGATATGATTTACCTTTGGGAAAGCAAGAAGGTTTTTTAGTTTTTTTATTTTTTGTGCCAGTTCCAAGCCTGAATTCAGGGCCTAATATTATCCCTGATCCTTTTGGCTTAAAGCTAGCAGTCTACCCTGTGAGCTACAGCTCCACTTCCAGTTTTTTGGGTAGTTGATTAGAGATAAAAGTCTCACAGACTTTTCTACCCTGGCTGATTTCCAATTGAGAGTCTCAGATCTCAGCCTCCTGAGTAGCTAGGATTATAGATGTGAGACACAAGTGCCCAAAGCAAGAAATTTTATACCCTGCTATTACAGAGTGTGTATTCATGTGTACAAATCTAACTTGTAAATATTCTCCTATGGAAGTAGAACTATAAATACGTTTAAGTCCCTTTTTAAAAGCTGGGTTTTGTGTGCATATGTAAGTGTTTTGTTTTAACCCCATTCCTAGAGATTGAACTCGGGGTGAGGGTGATGTCTCTACCTTTTGTGTTCAAGATTAGCACTCTACCACTTAAGCCATAGCTATACTTTAAGAGTCTCATGGACTTTCTTGACTAGGTTGGCTTAAAACTGTCATTTTCAGATCTCAGCCTCCTGAGTGGCTAGGATTATAGGCATGAGCCACCAGCTCTTAGCTATTGAATATTGTGATATATGCCTGTAATATCAGTATACAGTTGGCTGAGAGAAGAGGATTGAAAGTTTAAGGCCACCTTGGCGTATATAGTAAGGTACTGAATTAATTAAGAGTTCATTATTTGTTTTTGGTGCCGGACCTGAGGCTTGAACTCTGGGATAGTGTCCCTTAGCTTTTTTGCTGAAGGCTGATGCTCTATCAGATAAGCCTTCTGGTTTTAGTTAATTGAAGATTCTGCACAGGGTAGCTTTGAATCACAATCTTTAGATCTCAGCTTCCTGAGTAGCTAGGATTAATTAAAGGTATGACACTAGTGCCCAACTAGTGCTCCTTTTTCAGAGCAGGAAAAAATGGTAGAGATAATTCAAGTTAAATTCTGTACTTAATAAAATTATGTGGAAGAAAGTTATACATAATGGTGTACACTTAAAATCTAAGGCCTGCAAGGCTGAGATACATTAAGAGACACTGTCTTTAGATACACCTATTTTGTCTTGTTTTTCTTCCCTTGGGGTAAGATCTTGTCATGTAGACTAGGCTGGCCTTAAAACTGGTGATCCTCCTCCCTCCTTCAGCCTCCCTTGTGTTTAAATTTCAGGGCTTTTCCACCTAAACAATGGATTGATGGATTTTGGGGGGTGGTGTAATGGGGTTTGAACTTGACCTGTTTATTTCTAGGGGCTTTACCACTGAGCCATACCTCCAGTCCTTTTTTGCGATGGATACTTTTTTACACCCCCCCCCCCCCCCCCCCCCCCGTGGATACACCTAGATTACAGTCCACTTAGGCATCCCATTGTAGTTGGATGAGAAGCATGTTCCTACAGCACACCTACCTGTTGATTTAGAAGAGGTCTCATGTGTGTGCCTAGTCTGGCCTCCTGATCCTCCCGCTTGCAACCTCCCAAATACCTTGAATTACAGGTGTAAGCCACTAGCTCCCTGCTATGACATTTCTTATATTGGATTCAAAGAATTAAAAGGTAGTGCTCATTTTCTTAATTAGCATCTGATTCCCCAAGCTTCTTTGTGGCTTAGGAAATATTAGCAAATTATGGTGTTCAGTTTGTGGTATGTTGTAAACTGTAGCTTTATAAGGTTAAAAAGCTTTCAAGATGTTGTAACTAACATGAGTGTATCACAATAAAGGTTATTTTGGAGGCTTGCTAACATATAAGCATTTATACAGTGACTGAAATTTGAGGGCTTACCTGTAAGAATAAAAAGAATTAGTCCCTTTCCTGTAGGAGCTTAGACTCTAGAAGAAAATATTGGAAAAAATGAGTTATTTGGGGTTCTAGAATTAAAGTCTGGGTTAGTACATGAATAACACAAGAAAGAATATAGTTCCTGAAAATGAGGTTGCAGGATAGCTTTTTTTGTAATGTAGTTAAACAAAAGAATTGTAGTCTTGCTCTGTAGATGATAGATAGCATTTAAAGTAGTCAGGTTTCTGCCATTAATTATCATATACCCGACCTTCCCCTGTGATTATTAATCACAGGTTAATGATGGCTATTTCTTCACTGAGACAAATGTGCACGTTAAGTGACCTAAATATTTGTGGGTTGTTTTGACATAGATCTTGACATGTATCAATGAGAAGAACAAGAACGTATGGATAGAAGATGATGTTGTCCATCTTTAGATATAGGATACATTTTAAAATACAACTTCAGAAAAATATCTAGTAGAAAATAGAGATTTGGAAATTAGAAATTTTAAACTAAGTCTGTGGGACATACAAGCAAGCTAGTTAATTTTTAAAAGAGTGAGATAACTGTTAATTAGAACAGTACTCCTCTAAAATAAGTTTATGGCCTATTTTGAAAGACAGTGGATATTATCTGTGAATATTTCTGTATTATCAATGAAAAGTATATACTTTAGCAACTCTTCATGATTGTATTGGATTAATATATATAGCCTATAGAAATAAAAGCACTAACTAGTATTTGAGAAATATGTGCATAAATATTAATATATACCCTTTGTTATAAAATTTCTATAGCCTATAGAAATAAAAGCACTAACTAGTATTTGAGAAATATGTGCATAAATATTAATATATACCCTTTGTTATAAATAAAATAGAAACAATAATGTGAGTAGACGAGTAACTGAGACACATTTATATTAAACTTAAAAAAAATCTACAAACTCAGAATAATGTAGACATTAATAAGGAAAGGGGCTTAAGATTTGTTTAGCTCAATGGAGAGCATTTCTTCAGCACATATGAAGATCTGAGTTCAACCTGGCTAATAATAATATAATAAAAGCTACATGATTTGGTTTGACATAATTTCCAAGCATTTATGTTCACTAACACAGAAATGTGTAGGCTATGTTTAGTTAAAACAAGAAGCTGGGTGCTGGTGGCTCATGTCTGTAACCAACCTCCTGTTGAGGAAGCTGAGATCTAAAGATAAAGGTTCAAAACCTGTCCAGACAAACAATTGGGGAGGTTCTTATCTCCAAATAAAAGTCAGAAGTGGAAAGTGTGACTGAAGTGGTAGATTGAGTGAAAAAGCTGAGTGAGAGCTTAAGGCCCTGGTTGACATCCCAGAACATCCACGCTCATACACATGTACCCCTCCCCCCCCCAATAAATAAATAAATAAAAAGAATAATCTACTTAGAATATATTACGGTACAATAGAATATATAACTATAAATGTTTTCTGAATTCATTGATTTCAATATTTTCATGTATATTTTTCACAAAATTTATGGAAATATTTTCATTATAACTATACAGCTGGATCTATTAAAATATAAATTTACTTCTGTCACTATTTTAAAGAAAAAGAAAGACTGCTTCTACTGTAGTATGAATATCAATTGGTCAACAACTCCCAAATGTGTGTGTTGCAGTGTGTATATTTTATGCCATGTTTATATGAATAACATGGAAATAGATATTGGTACTACCTAGCTTGTTTTGTGTGGCTATGTTGTGGTACACGGGAATTGAGCCTAGGACAGTGTGCATGCTAAACACACAGTCTCCCACTGAAATATCCCTTATGCCCTACCATACTATTTTTATGAGTTACCTTAAGGTACAAAATTAAAATCCAAAGGTTTGGTAGCTACTCAGGAGGCTGAGATCTGAGGATCGTGGTTCAAAGCCAGCCCAGGCAGGAAAGTCTGTGAAACTTTTATCTCCAAATAAACCACCAGAAAACCAGAAGTGGCGCTGTAGCTCAAGTGGTAGAGCACTAGCCTTGAGCTGAAGAGCTGGGGGACAGCGCTCAGGCCCAGAGTTCAAGGCCCCTGACCGACCAAAAAAAAAAAAAAGATCCAAAGGTTTGGGCTGGAAAAGTGACTTAGTGGTAGAATTACTTGCCTAGCATGCATGAAGCCCTGGGTTCGATTCCTCAGTACAACAGGAACAGCAAAAGCTAAAATGGCTCTGTGGCTCAAGTGGTAGAGTGTTAGCCTTGTGCAAAAAGAAGCTCAGGGACAGTGCCCCAGGACTGGCAAAAAACAAAAACAAAAAAAACCACAAAACAGTTTTTCTTTTAATTTTTGTCTTTTTAGGCCAGCATTGAAGCTTAAACTCTGGGCATTGAACTCTTGCTTAGCTTTTTCTTTCTTTCTTTCTTTCTTTTTTTTTTTTTTTTTTGTGAAAATACTGTACAGATGGGGCTTAGCTATTTCTTCTCAAGGCTGTTGCCTTAACACTTGAACCACATCTCCACTTCTAGCTTTCTGTTGTTTAGAGATGAGTCTATAATCAGAACATTGCAAACACCAAGTCTTCTGCCAGATTAGACCCATGTTTTTAACCATTAATACAAGAAAGACAAGCAAAAGGGCATTGTGGGTTTATACTTAGATATCAATCAGGCTAGGAGTAAATAAGGTACTTTTTTTTTACTTTTTAATATTTTTTATGCCATCATTAACCCAAATACTTCAGTATTGAATTGCTTTGAGAAATAATCCGTTATTTTCTTTTATCACTTAACTTTATCTCTGCTTCCCTTTTTTCTAGATGATCAGTAGAATCGAATATGTGCATACAAAGAATTTTATACACAGAGACATTAAGCCAGATAACTTCCTAATGGGTATTGGGCGTCACTGTAATAAGGTTAGTCAAATGCTTTTTTGCATGAAACAATAAAAAATAAAATATTGGCAAGTTGCTTTGGTACTTTTCAGTCTTTAAAAAGCCATAGTAAATGGAAATTGCTTTAAAAGATTATGCTGGAAGGATAATCAGCTAACTCTTATTAACTAAGTAACTTGAAATATATTCTTTTCAACTTACCAACCATGTTAGTTACCTATATGGGAATTCAAAATTCCAAGGGCTTTTTAATGAACTGGAATCATCTGTTATTTACCTATTGAACAGTTGTATATTTTTCATTCACTTGAATAGCAAAAATCTCTATATACTTTTCCTTCTCAATGCTAAAAGTCAGATTTAACCTTTAGTGTGGGTTTTCTAAATACAAGTTTGTGCCAGTGTGGGTACCACTGACCCATCTGTCACCCTGGAGTTAACATTTGCTGACTGAGCATGGTTGATACTGAGAATTCTTTAGTCCTTGGATTTGTGTATTTGAAAGGCTAATTTGGGATCCTGCTTCAAAAGTAGTTAACAATTTCTTAACTTGGGTGCCAAGTCTGGTGAGTTCACCACTTTTAAAGGAAAACACAGACAAGTGAAATGACATTCATACAACAAAATTAGTGTTCGTTAGTGTCTCTGAGAATGGATCAACTTATGGGGCAATTGGGTTTTTTAGCTAGTGGCGCATGATTGCAGTTAGAAACTAATTGTATTGAAACGTTTCTGCAATGATTAGTGTTATTGAGTGAATTGCTTTCTTTATCCATTCATGTTAAGCTCGGGCAGACAGGCAGCATTGGCAATGCATTAAGCATGTTAAAATCTGATGATCTGATAGAAATTCTCAACTTCAGGACAACTTGCGGGCTTTTTCGTTTTGTGGGGAACATTGTTTTCAGAAGGAAGATTCCCATTTGTTAAACTGCCAGGGAATGTTTGGTGTTTTTAGGTCCAGCTTTAAATGTTTACCTTTGTTTGCCTGTATGAATGCCAACTTGGAGCCGTATTATTGGAATTGTTGTAACTTATTAATGTCTGAGGTACTAATGTTAGTCTGACCAAGTTTTAGGAGATTACATTTTTTATTGTACCATAAATAATGAAAGATTTTCATTCTATATGTGACTTTTTTCTCAAATTGTATTTTGAAAAAATAATAACTTCAAAGAATTGAAGTGTCCAGGTTCTTAATTTTCACTGCAAAACCTGGTAATTTAATGGAAAAAAATGCTATTTGGGGGGCAGTTTTGTCAGTTTGACTCTTCTTTTGGCCATTACCCAGCCCTCTCTTTCCCATATTCTTACCCCTAACAGTCCCGTTATTCTGCATGATGACAGTGCAGGACATAGTTTTTCCTTCAGTTTAAGTGATGGCCTGGATAATACTTTTTTAAGGGGGGTTATTCCTCCTTAAGTATAATTCATTAATGACATGGCTGTTGGGAAGTCCGAGTTACTACCTGGTAATGAAAGACATTATAGAGCCTGTGTCCTTGCAGATATTAAGAATTTTGTGCAGCAGCTTATTGTTACTCAGATTCAGAGAGACTGTTGAGTAGATGTGAACTATTTTGCTTCATTGAGATTAAAATAATTAAGATTGCTCTTGAACATTTTAGTGTTTTATGTGATTAGTTTTTAGTGTTTCTGTATTATAGTTTCAAGATGCCAGTTATGAGACTGGATTCTTTGGTTAGTTTGTTCCAGTAGTTTTCTATTCATGGGGGGGAATGTTTGGGGGGAGGGGCTTTTGAGGTTGATTTTTGAAGTTAAATTTATTGGAAAATTGTTCTGAATTTGATATTTGGGAGTGGCCACTCCAATCTTAGTGAATATGTTCATTTCTTCCAGTAATCAGCCCTGCATGCTTTCAAAAATAAATTCTAAGGTGACTAAATGCCTTCTACCTCTTCCTTACTGAAGATTTTTTTTTCCCCTGTACAATCTCTTTTGGGGGAAGGGCAGATTGTGGTACCAAAGATTATAGACCTAAATTCCCCATTTTTGCTTTAAAAATTAAAGAGCCAAATGTCACCATTGCTATCCCTGTTTCAGGCAGTGACACAATAATAGTGGCATTAAAAACTCAAGTATTCTGTAGAATTCAAATATTCTTAAGCATGTGATATTCTTATTTGGAAAACTGAGATAGAGCTACCATGCTTGTGGAAGAAGGATGGCATTTGGCTACCCTGTTCTTTCTCTAATGCCTCGGTGTTGCCTGTCTGCGCCGGCCATTGTTGCAATGTAAGCAATACTGTTTGATGCACTGCCACCCTCTATTGTCTGTTTAGTGTTTAGAATCTCCAGTGGGGAAGAGGAAAAGAAGCATGACTGTTAGTACTTCTCAGGACCCATCTTTCTCAGGATTAAACCAGGTCTGAAACTGTCTCCTATTCCAACCTCAATCCCAAATTCATGTGCTTTTCTTTTTTATTGTTTTATTTTAATTATTTTTGTTTTGTTTTAATTCTGGAGAATATAGATCTTGCTCAAGCACCTCTTACGTTGGCATTATTCAGACATACTTGGCAAACATAACATTACTAAGATGTTTTTTTTTCTGGCTTTTGCTTAAAAGTTGTAAAGTTTAGAAAAAAAACTAACTGAAAATAGGCTATTCTTTGTTTTAGAATGCTAACATCCATATAAGGAAATATGTTTGTATATACTGGAATTCCTTACCTAGTAGTAAACTTGTGATAGACTATTTTGTTTTTAAAAATATATTTGGAGTTGCAGAGCTTAATATATAAAAACTCAATTGCATTCAATACTATGAAATGAATATATTCTTCCTCACCATTCTACTTTCCTAAGAACCTCAGGTAAGTATAGGTCAGATTTTTAGATCTAGTGTTTCTAGACTTGATAGTCACTCGGTAAATTCTTACTTTCAACCAAATGGTTGCTTAACAGCATTATATGCTTTAGAACTAGAAGACATTATGTTCTTAACAATATAATAGCAATAATTAAAGAACTTACAGATTAAATTGTAGACCGACAGTCAGTAGTAGTATGAAATACAATGAAAGTATAAACTGACAGTTTACATTTTTGCAGGCTAACATATCCTTGGTAATTTCTAAATATTTAAAGAAAATATGTGTTGCTTTATATTTTCTTTTACTTTTGTGGTAGTTACATACCTGTTCCCTTATATGAACTTTAAGACAAAGGAAAAGAAATACAATTTAGTATGTCGATTTTTATGCTTCTAATTAGATGAATCTATATTAATTTCCGTTCTTGTGTGTTATATGAAGATGGTATAGTATGAGTAATAAAAAAATTAAGGGTAGCACATGCCTAGAATTCCAGCACAGAAGGCTGAGTCAGGAGAATTGTGAGCTCTGGAACATCCTAGGTTGCCTTAGTAAGAACCCTGTCTCAAAAAAACAAAAAGAAAACAAAAAAAAAAAACAAGAGCAAGGCCACCAGTGGCTCATGACTGTAATCCTAGCTACTCAGGAGACTGAGATCTGAGAATCACAGTTCAAAGCCAGCTCAGATAGGAAATACCATGGGTCTCTTATCTCCAGTTAACCACACACACAAAAAAAAGCTGGAAGTGGAGCTGTTGCTGAAGCGTTAGAGCACTAGCCTTGAACAAAAGCTCAGGAACAGTGCCTGGGTCCTGAGTTCAACCCCTAGGACTAGCACCAAAAAAATAAAAAAGCATTACTGCTATGTAGTGTCTTATCTGTGTGTATCATTTCTCCCATACTGCTAAGCCTTATCAGGACTACCTTCTGTCCCTAGAATGGACATCAGAAATTCAGTTCTTGGGCTGGGAAGGTGGCTCAGTGGTAGAGCACTTACCTTGCATGCTCGAGGCCCTGGGTTCGATTCCTCAGCACCACGTAAGAAAAAAGCCGGAAGTGGTGCTGTGGCTCAAGTGGTAGAGTGCTAGTCTTGAGCTGAAGAGCTGAGGGACAGCGCCCAGGCCCAGAGTTCAGGCCCCACGACCGTAACCCCCACCCCCCCCCAAAAAAAAAAAGAAATTCAGTTCTTTTTATAACTGAATGTACTACTTTATAACAAAATATCTTCTACTGTACCTAGATTTTGTTGAGGAATGAGAACAGATGGGTGTTGTAAGGCCATTTAAATTTTCTGAACTTTTGAGCCCTCACTTCTATTTACTCATTCATTCACAGCTTTTCTTATAATTTGTAGCATAACCATTTAATAATTTATGTGGAAATTTATATTAAAATTTTGAACACTTTAAGTTTGTGAGGTAAAACTAACCTTAGTCCTTTTGGAAAGACAAGGAAATATCACCCCTGATTAGGAGAACAGTTGCTCTAAGTACTAAAAATGTAATAGTATTTTAGTGCCAGTACCAAGACTTGAACTCAGAGCTACACACTAGCATTTTTGCTCACAGCTGGCACTTTCCCACTTGACCGCCATCTCCCGTACAGCTTTTTTTGCTGTTTAATTGGGAATGGAGTCTCTCAGACTTTTCTGCCTTGAACTACTCTGCCTTCATGAATAACTAGGGTTGCAGGTAGGAGCAATCCCCACCCCCACCCCCACGACAGCAATATGTTCCTGGGAAAAATGATCTCAATTTATCAGATGTTATTAACTCATAATATCTATATACTTTGGTGGAAATAAGACTGCATTCTTTAAAAGAAGCACAAATCTTGGAAGTCTATGAAAAAGTAGTTTGACCCACCAAATAAATATGCCTCCGTTTGTGCATATGCAAACCTTGTTTAATACTGATTGTCCTCATTTGGTTCTGCCTTTTTACATCTTCACTGTGTTTTGTATCCTTGGTATCACATATTTAAAGTAAACACACTTCTGTTACATGCTTATGTTAATTTTAACTTGTACACAGCTATAGCTACTAAAGAAGTTTGATAGGTATCTGGAGGTTAATAACATCTTTAAGTAGTTAAAAAAAATTTTTTTTATTCCAAGTGGTTTTCCTCTCAGTTGTTTGCCTTTCTTGAAATGATTTCCTGATTTATATTCAGGTTTTATAAGAGAAGATTCTTATTTTTAGGAACTTCTAAATTGACTAATTCATTTTTAGGTTTGGTTTTACATTGAATATTAACATGCTTAGGAAGATAGTATTTATATTTCTGAGTTTTTTCTTTATTTTTATTTTTGGTTGGTTGTGGGGCTTGAACTCTGGGACTGGGCCCTGTCCATGAGCTCTTCAGCTCAAGGTGAGCATGCTCTAGCACTTGAGCCACAGCACCATTTCCAGTTTTCTGGTGGTTAATTGAAGATAAGAGTCTCATGGACTTTCATGCCTGGGCTGGCTTTGAACCACGATCCTTAGATCTTAGCTTCCTGAGTAGCTAGGTTACAGGCATGAGCCACCAGCACCCAGCTTTTTTGTTTCTTTTTAAATGTTATATCCAACTTAGAAGTGAAAGAACTGTAGTGATACTTTCTTTAAACCAATCTTCAATGGTGAGAAAATGCCTGGTTATTGAGATACAAGTGGAGCTATAGATTTGAAAGAAACTCACATGTAATCTTGTCACAGCTGTTCTCTTTTAAAATACTAATGGGAGCAATCCCATAAAATATCCCTACAGGAAACTTAAAGCAAAGGCTGAATATCCTTTTGCAATTTTATTGTTTTCAATATAATTGCAGAATTCTTAATCATAATTTTTTTTTGCTTAATAACTGTTTTTTGCTCACTTATTTATATATTGCACTGGTTTACACATTGAGAAATTTACAGTGTGAGTACTTCAGAAAACTGATTGTCCATTATTCCTAAAATAACTTGATTGCTTAGAAAGAGAGTTTGAGTTTGAACTTTCCTTATCTAGTACATTCTAGTAAGAATTTCTATTCTTAGAGTAGACCAAATAAAAATACTTTATTGTTGGCCTGGTTCTAAGTCCATTGTTACCATATAGAAGTAGTTCATATTGGGGCTGGGAAGGTGGCTCAGTGATAGAGTGCTTGCCTTGCATGCATGAAACCCTGGGTTCGATTCCTCAGCACCACATAAGCAAAAAGAAAAAAGCCGGAAGTGGCACTGTGGCTCAAGTGGCAGAGCTCTAGCCTTGAGCTGAAGAGCTGAGGGACAGTGCCCAGGCCCAGAGTTCAGGCCCCACGACCGGACCCAAAAAAAAAAAAAAAAAGAAGTAGTTCATATTGCCTGACTGAATTAAGTATTATTTATCCTCATCCTCCTTAAGAGAGATCAGAACTTATAAACCTAAATCCATAACTGGGCTTATTTTTTTTTTGAATCATTGCATGATGTGTTAGGTAAAATCATAGTATTGTAAGTTGTGGCAGAAGATTCCCAATAGCCTAATGAAGAGAAGAATCATTAAACTTAGGCATAGCTAGCAAAGAAACAGTAGTCTAGGGCCATATTCATATAATCGGGCCACCTAAACCTGTCCAGCTTGATCCTCATTACAAATAAAACTTTAATACAACGTGTAATAAGGTTGGGTTTTTTATTTGTTTGTTTTTAGTTGAAAATAGAGGGGTTACTAAGAAAAATTTAGCTAGGTTACAAGGATTCTCTTCCCTTGGTGCAATGTAGATAAAACTACTATTTTGTTATAAAGTGCAAATTTTGTTTTAACTTGCTTATTTAAACAGCTAGTTTATAAGCTACCTTAATTTAAATGCTCCTTGCTTTTTTTTTTTAAGATTTTTCCAGAAGTTCAGCTGAATTACATCAGTACAAAATAATAAAATGTAATGCCAAATGCTTCATTAAGTTATTTTTTTAAAGCCCTGATTTTATTGGCGATATCAGACTTTTAGGTTTCTGTTAATTTAAACGATAGGATTTTGTTATGCTAAAGAGCCCTTGGTAGGAAGGATAATTCAACATAGCTTTTGTGTAGATTCTGAAACACCGTTCTTGTTTACCAGTAGTGACAAAGTGTCAGATTTCATTATGTTATGTCAGACAGCGTTCTTGACAACTTTGTTGTCAGGCATATGCACATTTCTCCACTTAAAAACATAGACTCGGAGTGTATAATGGTAGGCCTATGAAATGCAAATAACAAAGATAAAACAGCAAGACTTAACTGTATGTTTTACTTGCTTACTGATGAGTAGTAAAAACTATTGTGTTGAATCTATTGATTATCTTGTTCTACTTATGATACTTTATTTTGATATAGTTGAATACTTAGGATACATGCCATTTAATAAATAAGAAAAAGATTTATTGCACAGGCTAGAAACCTAATGACTCTTTATTTCTCTTTTAAAGTTATTCCTTATTGATTTTGGTTTGGCCAAAAAGTACAGAGACAACAGGACAAGGCAACACATACCATACAGAGAAGATAAAAACCTCACTGGCACTGCTCGATATGCTAGTATCAACGCACATCTTGGTATTGAGCAGAGGTGAGTTTGAAAACATTTATTAGGTTTTTGCAATGCCTAAGAATGTCTCTTCTTTTGGCTGAGGATTTGAAGGATGCCTATTAATTGTTTTACTGCTTAGAAGCCAATTAAATGAGGTCCTTTGTTTTCTCATTGAAGGTTGTCTCTTTGAAATAGTGTGTCATGAAAAGTTAGAAAAAGAGTAAATGCTGTGGTGACAATTTTTCATTAGTCTCACTTCCTGTTACTTTTCCAGGTCTTTTTTGTTTTAAAGGGATAATAGTACATTTTGTTTTTCTTTTGGGCAGTTGTAGGGTTTGAATTCAGGGCCTGGGCTCTGTCCTTGAGCTCTTTTGCTCAAGGCTAGTACTCTGACACTTTAAGCCATATAGCTCCTTTTCTGTCTTTTGGATTTTGTGGGGTTGTTTTTTTGTTTTTGTTTTGTTTTGCGGTTGTAGCTTGAACTCTGGGCCTGGGTGCTATCCTTGAGCTCTTCAGCTCAAGGTGAGCGTTCTACCACTTGAGCCACAGCGCCACTTCCGGTTTTCTGGTGGTTAATTGGAGATAAGAGTCTCATGGACTTTCCTGCCCACACTGGCTTTGAACCAGATCTCAGTTTCCTGAGTAGCTAGGATTACAGGCGTGAGCCACCAGTACCCAGCTTTAAAAGTACATTCTTGAATAAGACATCAAATAAGTCTCTTATCTTCATATGGGAACCTTTTTTTTTTCCTGTGTATAATATTGACTTTTGTTTCCATAAGTGAGTTCTTAAAAGGACATTCTCTCTTCTAGTCGCCGAGATGATATGGAATCATTAGGATATGTCTTGATGTATTTTAATAGAACCAGTCTGCCATGGCAAGGACTAAAGGTAAATCAGACTCAGATTACTAGGATTTTGTTTTAGTTTAGTTTATTATGTATTTGGGGTGGGGGTTGGGGGGATGAACTCAGGCAGATGCTGTCCTGAAGCTTCATTTGCTCAAGGCTAGCCCTCTACCACTTGAGCTGCAGCTCTGTTTTGATTTTTTTTTTTTTTTTTTGAGTAGTTTATTAGAAATGATCATCTCATGGACTTTCCTGCCAGGGCTGACTTAAGTCATGATCCTTAGATCTCAGCTTCCTAAGTAACTAGGATTACAGGTGTGAGACACCAGTGCCCTGAGCCTTCTGGTTTTTTAATTTTTGAGATTAATTAGAGATGAGTCAATTTGTGGAAAATGTGTTCATTGAGTGGTACTAATTTGTACAATTGTTGGAACATTTTGTTTTTACTAACAAGAACTTTTGCTGTTTTAGTATTTGTTAATAAATCTTTATGATACAGAATTTAGTAGCTGTTTTTAAAAGCCTATTAGTCCTTTAAAGGAAAAAGCAATTATTGAATGGCTGTACTGAAATAATCAGTGTTCAGTTCTTGTGCAGATAAGTGTTATTCAATATGAATTTCTCCTTTTTTAACTCATCTTGAGTCACTAGTAGGGTATTATTTGTATATACAGTTAAACTATTAAGGTTTTTCTCCATAGTACTTACGGGATCTTTATGTTTAATTATTTTCTTCAGGCTGCAACAAAGAAACAAAAATATGAAAAGATTAGTGAAAAGAAGATGTCTACTCCTGTTGAAGTTTTATGTAAGGTAAATATGCTTAAGGAGTAATACTTTTTAAGTTTTATGTTTTGATTATTTTTATGTCTTTGGTTCGTTTTGTAATCTGTTTAAAAAATTAACAGCAGATAAACTTTTTGAAAGAAATTTATTCATCTATAGGAAAAAATAAATATTCTTGACTGTAAATATGGTTGAAATGGTACAACACTTGCAAATGCAAGTCCAAATCATATATTGGGGAGGGGAGATTGGGAGAAGAGAGAGAGGAATCCAAGTTGGGCATAGTAGTACAGTTTTCTCTGGAGCCTGAAATAGGAATATTCTCAGAAAGCAGAGGAGGGGAGAAAGGATGGAAGGGTACATATAAAGAAGAGTATAGAGTGGTCCCAAATAACAGTTTTCCAATAACAGAAAAATACAGAAGTCAGTTTGAGTCAGGCTCATTTATCAGAAATCTCAAGGTTCATTGAAAGGCAAATAGCTTTAGAATGGAGAAGTATTTGGATCCTAATAAATACGTATTATCTATCTCCTCCTTTGAAAGAGAGTTAAATGCTAGGTTTGGTACAGCATGCCTATTTCACAAGATTTGAGCTCAGGGACAGCTAGGCTTGTAAAAGGAGACCTTGTCTTAGAAAGAGAAACAAGGAGCCAGGTGCCCATGGCTCACTCCTGTAATCCTAGGTACTCAGGAGGTTGAGATCTGAGGATCCATGGTTCAAAGCCAGTCCAAGCAGGAAAAGTCGTGAGACTCTTATCTCCAGTTAACCACCAGAAAACTGGAAGTGGCTCTGTGGCTCAAGTGGTAGAACACTAACCTTGGTGAAGAGCTCAGACAGACCCAGAGTTTAAGAGGGAGAGAGGGGCTGGTGGGCCGGTCACTAGTAGCTAATGCCTTTATCCTAGCTACTTGAGACTGAGATCTAAGGATCCTGTTTTGAAGCCATCCCAGGCAGGAAAGCCTATGAAACTCCTATTTCTAATATCTGGCTCAAAAAGCCAGAAGTAGAGCTGTGATTCAAGTGGTAGAGTGCTAGCCTGGAGCACAGAAGCTCAGGGACAAGGCTCAGTCCCTAAGTTCAAGCCTTAGGGCCTGCACAGGTTAAAAAAGACAGGGGAAGAAGGAAAAATGTACATGTGGGCCTTTGAGTTACGCCAGTCTAGTCTCACTGACTTTCCTGCCGAAGCTGGCTTTCAACCATGATCCTCTGTTCTCAGCCTCCTGAGTAGCTAGGAGTACAGGTGTGAGCCACCAGCACCTGGCCTGTGAGTGAGACTTATCCTCCAGTAAACCACCAGAAAACAAGAAGAAGAGCTGTGGCTCAGCATGGTAGAGCACTATCCTTGAGTGAAAAACCTTAGGGACAGCGCCCAGGCCCTGAGTTCAAGCCTCAAGATGGGCAACAACAACAAAAAACAACCCACCTTCAGAGTGTAGCAGTACTATGCCCCATTCTTTGTCCTCATGTGACAAAGTTTGATTACAGCTCTCCATCTTGCCTTTGCCTTCAAATGATTAGAGTACTATACAGTAAACTAAAAACTGGTCTATCTGAATTATGCTGGGAACACATTGCTATAAGAAAAGGTTAGGTCTGTCTTCTATGAAGGTGTTGCATATAATGAGGTGAGTAGGATGATGAAATTTTAATTAAATCACACAATTATTTTGTTACCTTTATGCTAAGTATTAAAACACCCTACTGATTTCTATTTTATTTGCTTGTCACTACTTTTATTTTCCTGTCTCAAAAAAAGATTTCATTTGTTACTCTGTTTCAACACTGAACCTTTAGGGGTTTCCTGCAGAATTTGCCATGTACTTAAACTATTGTCGTGGACTGCGCTTCGAGGAAGCCCCGGATTACATGTACCTGAGGCAGCTATTTCGCATCCTTTTCAGGTCTGTCTTTATCAACTGTTTTTAATGACTAAATTCCAATAAAGGAAATTGCTTAGATCTACTGAATTTATCTGTTCGATAATTAAAGAATGTCTGGTATAAATAAAAATCCTAAATAACAGTTATTTGATATTGTCTTTATCCAGGAGTACAAATTTGCTTGAGATGGCTTTGATTTGAGCTACATAGATAGATCTTTTTGGGGGCTGGGAAGGTGGCTCAGTGGTAGAGTGCTTGCCTCGCATGCATGAGGCCCTGGGTTCAGTTCCTCAGCACCACATAAAACAGAAAAAGCCAGAAGTGGTGCTGTGGCTCAAGTGGTAGAGTGCTAGCCTTGAGCTAAAGAGCTCAGGGACTCCATCAGAGTTAAGGCCCCAGGACCGACAAAAAAAAGAAGAAAAAGAAAAACCTTTTTTCAAAATAGTTGTGATTCAGTTTAGATGATAGAACTTTCTAGTCCTGGTACAAAACCCTGTTTAGTGTACCAACTGTTAGATTGTATGTGGTAGAAAGAATTAAAGGAATCCTTTAGTACCAGAAAATGTGTCCCAGAGGACTACCAGCACCAGCATCTCTTTCTTTCTTTTTTTTGGGGGGGGGGGGGGTCCGGTCGTGGGGCCTGAACTCGGGGCCTGGGTGCTGTCCCTCAGCTCTTCAGCTCAAGGCTAGCGCACTACCACTTGAGCCACAGTGCCACTTCCGGCTTTCTTCTTTTTGCTTATGTGATCCTGAGGAATCGAACCCAGGGCCTTGAACATGCAAGGCAAGTGCTCTACCACTGAGCCACCTTCCCAGCCCTCTTTCTTAATTTCTAGTTTCATAATTAAAACTTCCAGTTTCTTATCTACTCTGGCTTGTAGGAAATATTTGTTAAGAATATTCTCCTGATATTTGACAGCTTGACTTCCGGTTCTAGTTCTTGCTGTCTTTTCATTCCTGGCCCTTTCAGGGAAATTGCAAAGTGGCCTATATTTGGAAATAGAAACATGTTTTTGCCTAGGAGAGGGTGAAAGGGGCACATGGGTGGAAGGAGAAAGGGTGAACAAATGCCATCCTTCTGTTTGACATACATAATGCAACAAGTGAACTTTAGGGTAGGGATAGGTTGGGGAAAATGAGGGAGAACAATGGGAAGGGGTGACATTGACCAAGAAACATTGTACTCAGGCCTTGACTTGTCACCTCTTTGTACAACTGCTGAATAATAAAATAAATCAAAGTGACCTGTATTTGAAAAGACCAGAGTGGTAACATCATTTTTCCTTGATCATAACGTGTAAAAATTGGAATTAATTCACTTGAGCAGTTTAAAAAGAAAAGGTTATCTATAGGGTGAGAATTTTTATAAGCTACCAGACTTGAAAAAAGGTGGTCATGTTCTAAAGGAATGCCCTCAGTGGAGTGGAGACAGCACCACCTACCTATACCTAGGAAATGCCAGACTCTTGAGTTCAAACTGCATTTCCCTACCCCACCCCCAGAAAAAAATGAGAAGGAATACATTCATTCACTATCTTTAAAAGTATGTCATGTTTTTAGTTAGACACAGTTTTGAAGGATTACATAATTTTTTTATTTTCCAGGACCCTGAACCACCAATATGACTACACATTTGATTGGACAATGTTAAAGCAGAAAGCCGCACAGCAGGCAGCCTCTTCCAGTGGGCAGGGTCAGCAGGCCCAAACCCCCACAGGCAAGCAAACTGACAAAACCAAGAGTAACATGAAAGGTTAGTAGCCAAGAACCAAGTGACGTTACAGGGAAAAAATTAAATACAAATTGGGTAATTCATTCATTTTTTTAACAGTGTTAGATCAAGGAGGTGGTTTTTAAAATACTTTTAAAAAATTGGCTGTATGGTTTAAAAAAAAAAAAAAAGACGTCCTTGGAAAATTTGACTACTAACTTTAAACCCAAATGTCCTTGTTCATATATATATGTATATATATTTGTATATACATATATGTGTGTATATTATTATATCATTTCTCTTGGGATTTTGGGTCATTTTAACAACTGCATCTTTTTTACTCATTCATTAACCCTTTCCAAAATAAATATTTGGTGTTGGGAATATGGTATTATCAATCAATCCAAAATCCTAGACCTAACACTTGTTGATTTTTAATGAATTTAGTTAAGCCATGGTATTTTGACTTTCTTTCAGACTAACAATGTTGAGGGTTTTTCCTTTCTGTTGGTTTTTTTTTTTTTTTTTTTGCATGTTAATGCTTTAGTATTTTAAATGAGTAATTGTGAGTGTGATCTAATTTCAAGAGGTGAGTCTGGCATTGTCCCCAAATGTTTGTATCTTCTCCATTGCAAGGAACCTCATTCATAGATGATCATTATAACTGCAAAAATCAGCTTATTGTTTTTGATCCTAAAGTTAATCTTTTACTTCTTAATTTAACTACAAAAAAAAAGTTGATTTCGAAATGATTTCTTTGAATTTCAGCTTTATTTTAAAATACATTGCAAACACCAAGCTATACTGGTTCAATATGGGATCAGTCCTTGCAAATTGAAGATAACTGGGGCAAATGCCATTAAACTGCTAGTCTGTTTTCTTTCTTTCTCTGGCAGTTGTAATATTTCTAAGGAGTAGAACTGTTAGGGAACAGCTCCATTCTTAACCACTGTTGCCATACAGTTCAACTCCCACTTTCACGTTTCTGCTTCTCTTTTCCCCTTTCTGGGGCTTTACCTCCTAATACCTGCCTGCTTTGTGCAAGTGGTGGGCAGGTAAGGTTTTGATTTTGTTTCTAATTATTTAATTTCTGAATGACTGCTTTAGTCTGAACTTGGTCTTCATAGATTAATTTTTGGTATATATTTTTAATGTATTACAATTTAAGAATAGAAGATCTCAGGATCTTTTCACAAAGTATAATTAACTGATGCTATCCTCATCCCAGCAGCTCATCTATTCGGAATGAAGTTGATAACTCTCTTCCACATTTCTGTGTTTAGGGATGGTTCAGAGTTAATCTTTAATATAGGAGGAGGGGTTTCTTAGATGATTAGGCTTTAATCTTAGCGCAAACACTGATGCTTTCCAGTGTTCTGCCTCTGCATCTAAATTGGAATTTAATTTTCACTCTTGATTGTTTTAATCATTGTATAACTTAGTATAGTGCCAAAAAGCTCATCATGAGGTGCAATGTTACTGAGAAAATGTTCCCACAATCTAGATAACACAGAATAGAGTCTCAAACCTCAAGACTTCTTGTTACACTGGACACATACATAGTTCATTTGATTTTTTTCGTAAAATGAAAATAACTTTTGCCTAAAGCTAGCTGGGATAATAGGATTGTCATGAGTTGCAGTTTCTAGAGCTAAAATTAGATTGAAATCTCATCTGTCTTAGAACATCTTACTTCAGGCATTCAGCAGCCTTCAGAAAGAATTATGAAGTTTCATTGTTGATTTACTATGTGTGTCTTAATAAACAAGCAGAATTTTTATCCTGCCTTATTTAGGTCTTAAAGATGAGAAGTTGGATCCACTGAGTTAGAATGTTCCCTTGAAAAAGAAAAATTGTAATTAAACATAAGTTTGATCCTTATTTTTGCATTGTACCTATTTTTTTTATAAAAGTAACTTGAAATGTTATAACATCTAATTACATATGACACAGGGCTGTTAAAAATTACTACATGAACATGGACTTGTATAGTTCCGAAAAATTAGATTTTTTTTTTTCAGCACATAATTACCTGTCATTGACTACTCTCAAAGATGATGTCCAAGGCATGTGTGCTTGTAGTTCCATTTACTTAGGAGGCTGAGGCAGGTAGATCATTTGGCCCTAGGAGTTGAAGGCCAGTCTGGGAAATCTATGGGAACACCTACATATAAACCCTCATCTCAAAAAAAAAGAAATAGATCAATTACTCTACATTTTTACTAAAGTATTGCTTGCTACTAAAATAAGCCACTCTACAGAATGCCAGCAGTAAAACTGTTTCTACTCTGGTATCTTGAAAACTTTTTTTGGTAATGTATCTAAGTTAGTGCTCAGCTATCCTAGTAAGCTGAAATAGAAGATCCTGAGTCCAGTATCTAAGAAAGGCTATATAAAAAAGCATATTTACTTTGTATCTGCATTTGTGATAACAACACTATATTACATCTTCCTAGTTCTTTAATCTCTGTAATGTCCACTTAGCAAGTGTGAGGCCAAGAAAGGCCAAGAAATAAAATAATTTTTAAAATGTGTTTTTGTGTGTGTGTATATATGTATATATACACACACACATATGTATACTTTCTTCCTTCAAAAATTAAGGAATCTTAATGCACTCTATTCACAGATTGGTTTATTTGGCTAATAGGAGCTTTGTTACATGATAGTAGATTTTTGTCCTGATTACTTTCAATTCATTCATTTAATGTTCATTGTGATATATACTAGCTTTTCAATACCCAAGTACTATGAAATTTTACTTACTTGTTTTTAATCATGTTAATTATATATATAATTCATACTTAGCCACTGTTCTAGATCTATTCTCTTTTCTTTACATGCCAAGTACTTTCAGCCACTTTTCAGGATTGAGGGCAGGCTCAACTGGTAAAGCACCAGTCTAGCAAGCACAGATTCTGAGTTGAATTGGGGAGCAGGGGGGAGGTAGAGAAATCATTTTAGACATTTAGAATCCAGTTATGGTCAAATGCTGGTGCTCATGCCTATAAACCCTAGCTACTTAGGAGGCTGAGATCTGAGGCTCACAGCTTGAAGCTAGCCTAACATTAAAAGTTCAGGCGACTTTAATAAAAAGTTCAATTAATAGGCAAAAAGCCAGAAGTAGAGGTGTGATTCAAGTGATAGAGCACCAACCTTCAGCAAAAAGGCCAAGCAAGAATGAAAAGCCCTGAGTTCAAGCCCCAGTACATGCATGCAAATAAATCTAGTTAATGGTGGAACATAAGAGATTGATGCTGGTGGACTGTGAGTTCAAGGCAACCTAGGTCTACATGAGACTGTCTCAATAAAACAAAGAATAAACTAATTTCTTTAGTTGTTGTCAAGGTCAGGGGAGAATTTCAGGAACACTAAAGCCAAAGACAAATCCTCACATAGTAATTCTACACTTTGCTACTGTCACCAACTTGCTCACCATCCCAGCCAGTGTATTAACTACCCTGAGTGGATGTCAAAATTATTGGCATAAAAAAGATTAGAAATATTTTCCCATCTTGTCATATCTATGGTCTTCCTCTAATAACCTGCCAGTGTTTACTTGGCTTCACCTATCATTTATGTCAAGCTTAATTTTTTCTGATCTCAATAATTGCTGCCGAGAACATACCTGATAGTCAGCAGCATACTCAGATCATAGGCGAACACCTTAACGTACTTGGGAGAGACTGGTCTGTTCGGAGAAGTACCAGGACACCACATCTTGCTGAAATCTTGACTTTATGGCAGCTTTTAATTTAACTATGGACAGTAAAGCTGGAAAGAAAAATGATTCAACAGGAAATGAAGATTGAGAGTCCAAGAGTTGATTTGAGGTGATCTGGAGCCTGTGTTTTCAAACTTGCTGCATCTGTAAGAACTTTTCAGCTTGTCAAATTGTCTGGATGATACGACTTGACAGCTGTCAGAGAACCCAGAAGAATAACTGTTGCTGTGCCTCCCTGCTCTGCAGACCTAATACAGACCATCTACCAGTTGGAGAAGGATTCATTTGGAACAGGTATTTTATTTTGTTATTTTGTGTGTGTGTTTGCCAGGCCTGGGCTTGAACTCAGGGTCTGGACACCGTCCCTGAGCTTCTTTGGCTCAGCTTCTTTGAGCCACAGTGCCACTTCTCCAGCCTTTCTCGGTTTATTGGAAATAAAAGTCTCAGACTTTGCTGCCCAGGCTACCTTCAAACTGCAATCCCTAGTTTTATCCTCCTGAGTAGCTAGATTACAGGAGTGAGCCACCAGCACCTGTCTTGGAATAGATGTTTTAAGAATAAACAACCTAGCTAGGCACCAGTAGCTTGCACCTGTAATCCTAACTACTCAGGAGACTGAGATCTGAGGATCTCGGTTCAAAGCCAGCCTGGGCAGGAAAGTCCGTTAAGACTTATCTGTAGTTAACCACCAGAAAACCGGAAGTGGTACTGTGGCTCAAGTGTTAGAGCGCTCTCCTTGAGCTGAAATGCTGAGGGACAGTGCCCAGGCCCAGAATTCAAGACCCATGGCCAACCAAAAGAAGAAAAAAAAAAAGAATCAGCAACCTCCTAAATCTATTGGAGAATAAATTGTAAATAAGGCTGACAAAGTAATTCAAACTGTCTTTGGTACAGTTTAGGGATAATCAGTACCTTTTATACTTCAATTTATCAATTATTTGTAGTGATCTGTTTCTTATATCTTTCACAATATTTTTAGTTTCTTTTGGGAAGAAAGTTATTGTAAAGTTTCTGGTTGGGTGTTTGGTTATTTTTGGTTTTTTTTTTTCCTTTAACTTTATATATTCCCATTCTGGTTCAGGCTCCAAGCATGTTTTTGTAATCAAAAGCCTGGTTTAGAGACTCATACCTGTAATCCTACCTACTCCAGAGGTGGAGATCTTCTAAGCTACTCAAGTGATTGAGATTGGGAGAATCTCAGTTCAAGGACAGCCTACGCAAAAAGTTGACCCCACATCAACCAATTTAAAAAATGGGCATGTGGTAGTGGTATGCACTTGTCATCCCATCTACATGGGAAGGGCAAATAGGAAAATATAAATAAGAAGATTCTGTGCAGACTAGCAAAAAGAGATTCTTTCTCAAAAACAGAACAGAAAGGGACAGAGGCATGAGTCAAGCAACAGCAATCTTAAAACCTTGAGTTCAAACTACAGAATTTTACTTCAAGATAAATAAATTTAAATGATATATAATGGATATTCAAAATGAATTTCAAATGCTCACCCCAAATTTGTAAGCCATACTGCGATATAACTGTTCTTTTTTTTTTTTCTTCCATTGGATACATTTGAAGTGAATTTTCAAATAAAATATACTGGGCTCCTCAAATCCTAATACTAAAAAATGAATCTTTTCTATTGAAAGATAGAGAACATTGTTGTTTGGGTTGGTTTTTGTTTTTTTATCTGTCATGGGTCTTGAACTCTGGGCCTGGGTGTTGTCCCTGAGCTAACTCTCTATCACTTGCCACAGCGCCACTTCCAGTTTTCAGTAGATAAGAGTCTCAGGGACTTTCCTGCCTGGGCTGGCTTTGAACTGTGTTCCTCAGATCACAGTCTCCTGAGTAGCTAGGATTACAGGCGTGAGCCACCAGCGCTGGGCTTGTTTTTTTTTTTTTTTTTTTTTTTAAGCACTTTTTCCTAGTTGAAAATTGGGAAAAAAATTTAAATGTAACTGTTAACTCCTAATAACACATTGATTCTCCAACTTCTCCCCCACTCTCTCTTTTTAGGAACAATAGGATTTATGATATGACTGAAGTTGCATTCTTGAACTTTTTGAAGTCCCAAGATACCATTCTTTCTGCAAGATAGAAGTCAAAGACTAAAGCACACTGGGGAAAAGAATGCTTATTAATACTTGAAGATTGAATCTTGAATATTTGCTGAACATGTCAAGCCTTTTGCTTCTTCAATAACATTGTAGGACAGTGAAGTATTCTACCATTGACTCCCTGAAGAGCTAATCTGGATTTGGCTGCTGTTTCCTACCAGGAATATTGTTAATCTGGCCTTTAACAATCCCATAATTAATTATAATCACTAACTGACCCAACAACTCTGAACAGATACAAGTCTTATCCAGAACTTCCCTATAATTCAAGACAGGAAAGTTTTCTAATATTTTCTTGAACAATGTAACTTATATTTCTTTTTTCAGTTTGTTAGTGCCTATGATTTTCACTTAAAAAACCACTTGGTGTAATAGTCAATGTAGTCATGTTATTCACTGTAATGGTAAATGATAAAACACACAGGTTCAGTAGTTGTGAAAACATGTTTTTTATTTTTTATGTAAAGATAATTGAGTATAACTTGAACCCAGTCTTAATGGGATATGGGTTATTTCTGTTTAGTTCAGTGCTTCTTTCTTGTTTCTCTTTTATTATTGAGTAGTTGTATCAAAGGGTTATAATTCCATGTCCATAACTTGCCTAGTTTCTTAACCTATAAAATTGGAGTCTACTCTCAAAATGGTTTCGATTTTTAAATTTAATGGACTTGACAGTCTTTAAATACCTATTCTTATTAGGCACCATAGAAAGAGAAGAAAAGCATTTGAAGCTTTGTCCTCAAGGCTTAATACAATGCATTTGACTGAAGATGACTTTTCTGTCTCCAAAGAAAAAGTTCCTAGTTAACTAGTGAGAAAAATTACAAGAAATAGTATAAATAGTATTTATCATGTGACACTCAAAGAAGATGTTGTATCAAGTATTTGAGAAGAAAAAGAAGCCATGAATGATGAAAACATCTAAGGAACTTAGGAAAAAGCTGAAGTTGCAGTTAGATCTCTTGTATAAGTTTGGAATGATTAGACAAAAGGGGCATTAATAGCAGAGTGGCTATATGTGAGAGAAGTTTGCTTACAATATTAACAGTTCTTAAGAAAAATCATTTCTTTGCATTATACAGCAGCTCTTACTACTTTCTGGGTTCCTATATTCAAATATGCCTTGATGATGAAGTTGTAGGGTATGCTTGTGAAATAAGAGGGACTTGTATACAATGGGGAAGGACATGAAGTAAATAAAACCAAGATATCACTTTTCATTTTTCTAACTAGTGATGAAATTTTAATCTTCTTAATGCAGCAGTGGAAATAAAGAAGTTTCAAAAGTATTTCTGTACAGAAATATAGTGCAACAACTCAGGGTTGTGCTTTGAAAACGTTACAGATTGCCATTGGTTCCTAATTTATATCAGAAATAATGTACATAAAAGTCCATGTTCATAGTAGTGACTTACTCTAGTTAGTAGGTAAAACATTTCCAAGTTTTAAAAATACCATCTAGCAAACAATTCTATTTGAGTTCAACTTTAATTATCTTGAGAATTCTATGTAGAGACTTTAATTCAGTGTAGTAAACTACTTACTCATTCTTTCTAATCAGAATCAGAAAAAAAAATGTTTTATTTATAAATTCATGGTTTTCTAGCTCAGAATTTTAACATTCTTTTTTCTGTTTTGATTTTTTTTAATAGGTTTCTAAGCATGAATTGAGGAGCAAAAGAAGCAGAGCAGATGATCGGAGCAGCAATTGTTTCTCCCCAAATCTAGAAATTTTAGTTCATATGTACACTAGCCAGTGGTTATGGACAACCATTTACTTGGTGTAAAGAACTTAATTTCAGTATAAACTGGCTCCGGGCAGCATTGGTGATGCTATGTCCTGAGTTGTAGCCGCTGTAATTGTGAATATTAACTGAGATAGTGAAACATGGTGTCTGGTTTTCTATTGCATTTTTTCAAGTGGAAAAGTTAACTAAATGGTTGACACACACAAATTGGTGGAGAAATTGTGCATATGCCAATCTTTTGTTAAAACCTTTTATTTTGAACTATACTGCTTTGAGATCTCATTTCAGAAGAACGGCATGAACAGTCTTCAGCCACAGTTGTGATGGTTGTAAATGCTCACAATTGTGCATTCTTAGGGTGTCCATCGCTGCGGTTTGCAAGTTGTTCACTTAAAACATTCTTTCAGTGGTTGGCTTCTTGTTTGCAAGCCAGCTGACATGGTAGCAACCAAAGATTCCAGTGTTTGAGCATATGAAAGACTCTGCCTGCTTACCTGTGCTAGAAATAACAGCATCTAAAGTGAAGACTTAAGAAAACTTAGTGACTACTAGATTATCCTTAGGATTCTGCATTAACTCTATAATGTTCTTGGTATTAAAAAAACAAAAAGCATATTTGTCACAGAAATTTAGTTAACATCTTACAACTGAACATGTATGTATGTTGCTTAGATAAATGTAATCACTGTAAACATCTATATGATCGGGATTTTGTTTTTATTTTGAAATGGGAGCTTTTTTGTTTACAAGTTCATTAAAAACTAAAAACTGTTTCTGAGATTTTTTTAAGGAACAACAAAATGCCTTGCTGACTATGAAGTAAAAGTGTCCCCATATTTTGATAGATTAATTCAAGCCATTTGTTCCATGATATTCTTTTGCAAGCTGGTCAAGCTTTAGTGTGTAAATTCTCATTTTTAATGTTTTTTTTTTTCTTTTAGTCTAAAGGGAAAAGGCATTCTTTCACTCTTTTTTTAATGACTAGCAGGCACAGTACTTAGTACTGCAGCTGCTGGAAATTGGCATTGTAACTTCTGCTGCTACTGATGAGCAGCTGGACTGATTTTGAAAAAGAATTAAAAGCGTTAAAGGGTTTAACTAGAGAATATTTTTCTTTGAAGTACTTGTGAAATGGCTGTAAGCAGTAGACTTATCCCCTGGACAGTGTCCTCTGTGTGAAGTTCAAGTGGTTGTTGACCCTATAGCCCCAACCCGCTTCTATAGGTCCCCTGTGTGTGCGTGTGTGCTTCCTCTCAGTCTTACTGTGTACTCTTTCTGATCGAAAAGAAAGGAAAACTTATTGACAATAACTCTTATCAAATAGTGTAACTTATTCATTTATAGCATGTCAGGATAAATTAAAAGAACATTTGTCTGAAAATGTTGCCAGGAGCCTATTGTGTAAATGTAGGTATTTTGTCAAATAACCTTGAAAACACTGTAAAATGATGTGTTTGGTCAGATGGTGTCGGTTCAATTTGTTTTGTTTGTTTTGTTTTTTTTTTTCTAAATTTGAAATCCACTTTAGCAATAATTTCATGATTGCCACATTCTGCCATTAAAGGATATGTTAGTACTATAATAACTGAAGAAAACTGAGTTAAGTCTGAACTTCGGGGGTAGGCAGCTGCTTTGTTTCTTTTCTAACCATCCTGTCAGTTAAGGTATTTGTTGACAAATAAACCCTTTGATACTTTTAGCCAGAAGTCAGTCTCATAAAGCTATTTTTCAGTATAGTTTGTGTAAAATAAAACTTTCGCCTTGGTGGTAACTTTTCCTAGCTGAACTCCCTCTAGCAAGATATTTTCCAGTGCTTTTATTTACTATGCACTTAGACTATGCACTTTTTCTGAAATATTTTTGTAACACGTTTTTGTATTTTTGCCATTTGAAAAAGTTGTATGGTGTAGTTGGTTTGTAATTAAGTTGCAGATTTAAAACCGCTGTCAGCTTTGTAAATCCAGATGCAGGCTTCTTGTCCTGGTATATTGTCCTTCCATCTGCAGTTGAAGCTGGAAATCCCATTGATCCTCTAGCTACCATTCATTTTCTTCACAGTTCACAAAAGAAGAATGTGAAATTCAGTGAATGTTGTTAACAATCCTGTCGGGAGATGAATCTCACTTCACCAAAATTAAATTATGTTTTTCCACTAAAATGATACAAGTTGAAGACACATCACTCTGACATTGGAAGACCTCACTACTAAAGGCTCCACAGTGGCTTATTCGGCTGAACTCTAGGTTACCCTCTTTAATTTGTTTGCCCATTGGGAGGGGGGGGAGTCACTTTTTTTTGTTTTTGGTGTTTTTGTTTTTGTTTTTTTCTTTCCATTGTTGGGAGATGGCCATTCTATCATTGTTGAATGTCTGTTTGGGGAAGGTATAACGAGAAAATAAAAAAGAATATATGAAGGGAGAGACTGGTTATCTCCTCCCAAATGCTTGTGCTTATAACTACTATAACCTACAAACAGATATTTGGAGTCATGCTTTTACAACAGTTTCCCGTCTACATATTTTTTTACTAAGGGGTTTCACTACTACTGACTGGGCCTTTCCATGTTAATAATATTAAATGTTTCAAGCAGAACATACTGTAATGCTGTAAACTTAATTCCATAACAGAAGTAAGTCTAAGGATGTTAGGATCTAGTGAGCAAATTTTCCCTAAAATTTGTAGACATGCCAAGAACACTTACTTTTTAGAATGAGCAATGAAGAATTTCCTAAGGCCTGGCCTAGACATTTTTCGCCCAGCTGAAAATTAAGCAGTGCTCAATGTAGGTGAACTTGAGTTGTGGCTCCTTCCCAGCTAATCTGGAACACTTAGGCTTTTTTTGAGCCAAACTGGTATGTAATAATATTCTGGGTTCTTTGCCAGTTCTTAAACCGTCATGGACATCAGACCAGGATGCCTCTGTGACATGTAGCAAAGAAATGTGAACAAGCAGCTTGTTCAAGGTGTGCCATCCTTAGCCCAGAGCCCTGCAGATGCCACACGAGTGCTTGTTCTGCCACCAACTCCCACCCAGGAAGCATTACTCTACTAACATGTTTTCAGTGACTTCTGGGGAGTTTTGATTTAATACAGTTCTTAACTCTGGTGGGGGTTTCATTGGTTTTTCTGTGTTAAGAGATTGAACCAGGCATTATGTATACTAAGCTAAGTGTTCCTGCTGAGCCATGCTTTCGAGTACTTACAAAGTTGCTAAGATGGCAGTGAATCAAATGTGAGATTAATCAAAGTAGTCTGCATTTTGTTTTAATCAAAACAGTATATTGAAGCACAGTGGCTTATTCCTGAAGTGACTTATAGACTTTTTTTTTAGGATAGTGAAAAGTAGAATGTGAAAGCAGCCAGATAGGTGCTGGAAGCTCACACCTGTAAGCTTAGCTTGTTCAGACTGATCTGAGGATCAGTGTTTAAAGCCAACATAGACGGCAAAGTCTCTGAAACATTTCTCCAATTAACCACCAAAAAGCTAGAAGTGGAGCTGTCGCTTAGTTGGCTGAACTCTAACCTTGATGGAAAAAAAGAAAAAGCTAAGTGCTAGGCCCAGCATTCAAGCCCCAATACTGGTGCATACGTGAGCACACAATTAACATACACATACAAAAAGAGTTGTCCTAGAAAACCACTAAAGGCAATGTTTTTCAGGCCTAGGAGAAGGAAAGAAAATGAGCCTGGAATAGCATTTTGTGCCAGAAAGGTAATCTTTTTTAGGAAAATTAAAAATGCATGTATTGAGCTTAGGCAGGGCAGAGCCCTACCAGGCAAATGAATGTACTGAAGTAAGCAGTGTTTTTGCTGGGGGATATTGTATTTTAGGGTTTTGCTAATACTGGAGTGTTAAGTAGGCGCTCAGCACTTCAGCCCCTCCCTCAACAGTTTCGAGATAGGCGCTCACCTTCGAGGTCAGCCTTCCTTTGCTGGAATTGCTAAAGGGTATTACCACAACTGGCTTGAGAGCACTGTTGAACTAACATGTTTAAATTGTGAGGGCAATCAATTGTCTCCTTAGGCCCATACCCAAAATGTAAGAAGTGGTCTTAAAGGGTAGGTGTGTATGTGCATACACATATGGGTGCACATGCAATTAGTGGAGCTTGAACTTAGACATGGATACTGCCCTTTAACCTTTTCACTAAAGGATAGCATTGCCACATGAGCCACAGCTCCACTTCAGCTGTCTGGTGGGTAATTGGGAGGTAAGAGTCATGGACGTTGCTGCCTAGGCTGGCTTTAAACTGATCCTCATATCTCAGCCCCTTGAGTAGCTAAAATTACAGGAGTGGGCCTCCAGTGTCCAGTTTGACAAGGTAATTTGATGTGCATTTGATTAATAAATAGAAGTCCTAACGATTTTAACCTTTCTAGTCATGAATTCACATTTACAAGATGGAAACTGATTCTTCTGTATACAAAAAGTTGCCTTGTGGGGCTGGGAAGGTAGCTTAGTGGTAAGAGTGCTTGCCTAGCATACATGAAGCCCTGCGTTCAACTCCTCAGTACCACATAGAAAAGACCAGAAGTGGCACTGTGGCTCAAGGGGTACAGTGTTAACCTTGAGCAAGAGAAGCTCAGGGACAGTGCCCAGGCCCAAGTTCAGTCCCCAGGACTAGCAAAAAAAAAATTGTCCTGTAATAAGGTTAGACTTTGAGATGAGACAGTGATGTAAACAGTGAAGTCATAATGTGAGGTAAAGGCTAAGGCCATTAGGGAAGGTATGAATAATAATGTCCTAATGAGTCATGGAGGTGGGGTAGTGTGCTTAGTGTCTTGTGCTCTACAAGGTGGCCATGAGACTGCTGGGGCCCACCCATTGTCCACTTGATTGCATGAATAAAAGCTCAGTGTGGCATTTTATGAATTTACTTTTCCTGATTCACTAAGCCCCTGTGTATAACTGGGTACTTCAGTTTCTTCGTTACTGTCATCAGTTGAGAATGGGCCCAGAAAAATGTGCTCAGGTGCCCCAGCAAGTGCTGCAATCCAGGCCCAATGCATAGAACAGCCAGTCTATCGGATTATCTCTAACAGTCCCTTTATGTAGCCGGGTGTCAGTGGCTCACATCTGCAATCCTAGCTACTCAGGAGACTGGGATCTGAGGATCGCGGTTCAAAGCCAACCCAGGCAGGAAAGTCTGATACTTCTCCAATAAACCACTTAGAAAACCAGAAGTGGCACTGTGGCACAAGTGGTAGAGTGCTAGCCTTGATCTGAAGAGCTGAGGGACAGTGTCCAGGCCCAGAGTTCAAGCCCCATGACCACACACACACACACACATTTTGTGTGTGTGTGTGATTTTTGCTTTTCAGCTGTCAAGAAATTGAAATTAGCTATACTGTTGACTATGTCTAATAACTAGGAATAGAATGTTTTAAACAATATTTGAGCCAGGTGCTGGTAACTCATGCCTGTTAGATACTTAGAAGGCCAAGAACTGAGGATCATAGTTTAAAGCCAGCCCCAATGGGAAAGACCCTAAGACTTATCTCTAGGTAACCAGCAACAAGAGGTGGAGCTGTGGCTTAAGTGGTAGAGCTCTAACCTTGAGTGAAACAGCCAAGGGACAGCACATAGACCCTGAGTTTAAGCCCCAGTGCCAGCACCCCTCCCCCCCAAAAAAGTTTTACTCCTGGAAACAAAATTTGATGAAGATGTTTTCAGTTGTGATTATGAATATTTACCTTTTTGGAGCACTTCCACATACCCAGTTCTGTACCAATGTATCCAACAGAATTTCTCCCCCTTAATTCTAGAGTACAGTGCCTTCTTAGCTTGTCATTTATGGAGCAAAATGTCTTGGGTGGGTGTAAAAATGTAGCCTTTTGTCAACATTACCATATTAAGTCTGCATTGTTAGTGGTTCAGTGAAAGAAAATGGTTGGAATAACTGTTAGAAACAATGTGTGTGGGATTCAGGCAGGGAGCCATTCTCTGTTATTGGACAGTGGCACCCAACTTGATAAAATGCTGTGTTAGATATTTGGGACTGGAAAAAAGGGAGAGAGCAATCGTTATTTTTAGAAACTGCTTTTGACAGTTGCTAAGCAAATGTTTTTAATTGCAGAGCTGATATGCACTATACAAACATGGCTCTATTAAGTGTAATGTTTTAGTCTAGATTTAGGCAGTAGCACTGGTAAATTAGCCCCTATCGTTCGGTGTGTGTGCTACCAGAAAATGTGAACATAAATATAATTTTTTGTTTAAAAATCATGGCAGGGGTGTCATTTTGATGTTTCCACATTTGTGCAAATATGTTTGTACAACTCACCCTTTCTTCACCCCCCTACCCTTTAATCATTCTCACCTTGCCACCTGCAAAGTGGTAACTATGTAAGCTCTTTTGAGTTTTATATGACTGTGTGGAGGGTTTGTTGAGTTTGTTGATTTTGTGTGTGTGTGTGTGTGTGTGTGTGTGTGTGTGTGTGTGTGTGTGTGTGTGTGTACCAGTACTGGAGCTTGAATTCAGGGCCTTGGACTTTCACTTGGCTTTTTCATTCATGGCTTCATTTCTGTCATTAGAGCCACACCTGCAGTTCTGGCATGGAAACTGGTGTGTATACAGGGCAAGAGCACTGACACGCAGCTTGGTTTGGGTTTGTTGTTGGTTGATTTTTGGATGAGGTCTTGGCTGTGTTGCCTGGACTATTCTCTAACTCCTGGACTCTACTCCCATCTTGCTTACTCTGCTGAGTAGCTAGGACTCCAAGTGCAAAAATGCAGAGTCCATCTATTTTTTTTCAGCCTGTGTTCAAGATGGCAGATTCTATACAAATACTAATAGGGACTGATTTTTCAGATTAGCAATTAAGGAGCTCTTACTGGGTCTCAGGCAAGTACTGCATTGCTCCCTAGGAATTCGAAGACAGCATTTCCTGAGACCGCAATGGGGGCGAGGGGGGGTGGGCATTAACAAAATGCATCTGAAGCTGGCTCACACCTATAATCCTAGCTACTTGGGAGGCTGAGATCTGAGATTGCAGTTCAAAATCAGTCCAGGCAGGAAAGTCCATGAGACTCTTAAATTAACCACCAGAAAACTGGAAATGATGCTATGGCTCAAAATGGTAGAGCACTAGCCTTGAGCAAAAACAAAAAAAAAAAAACACTCAAGGACAGCACCAAGGCCTTGAGTTCAAGCCCACAACCAACAACAACAACGTACATGATAATAACATAGCATATTGAGACCAGAAAAAAGTCTTCATGGGATTGCATCTGTAGAGACGAGTTAAGATTTCATCAGGCACTGGAGACTGTCTTTGCCTTGAGAAACTGATCTTGGAGGAATGATAGCTGAACACATCTAGCTACCTGAGTGATTTCAGCCAATAGTTTTTCTGTTCCTTGCTTCAACTTGGAGCCAAATGAGGGCAAAGGAGGTTAAGTGTCCCCTACCCCATGATAGTGTAAAATGTTCACCAAGAAGTGAAATATGACCTA